GTCTGGGTGGAGGGGGCCTGGGTGGAGGGGGCCTGGGTGGAGGGGTTCTCAGAGGCCTTCCCCTCAGCCTGGAGGTCCGATCCAGGTTGGTAGGCAGCAGAACTCTGCCAAGACGTGGCGCTGGTGACGGCAGCTGAGTCGTGAAGCTCGGTTCTCTCTGGTCCAGCTGGAGGCCCTCCATCTGGAGCCTTCGAAACGGTGGGGGACCTGGGCCCCCAGGAACCAGCCACTCCTGTTGGCAGCTCTGGGGAAGTCCCCAAGGTCCCGTGCACCTCCTGGCTACTGCTTTCCCCGGTGGCTTTGGGCTCTGAGACCGCAGACCTGTCCGTTCCCCTGGCAGCCAGGGTGCTCCTGGGCTCAGGCATGCTGCCGAGCTGCTTCTGAAATGTGCTGCCATTTTGAATCCGAGCAGCCTGGCGGTCTAGGTGCTCCATGGCTTCCTGGACCCATTCTGCTTTGGGATCGGCACATAAAAGTTTGTGCTTCACGGTCTCCAAGCTACAAGGAAGGAAGACAGAGACCCAGTGATGCCCAGATGCCATGTGGAGTAGGAGCGCCACCTCTGCAGGTGGACAGACCTGGCTGGAAACCCTGCTGCCATCACTCATTGGCTATGAGCTGTGAGCTTAGCTGCAGCAGCTAGACCTCTGGAACCTCTGTGTCCTCACCTTAGAGGTAGCGATAAGATGCCTACCCTTCTACAGAAAAACGAGGACTGATGGGATTCTCGAGATGCAGAATTTTTCATGAAAGCCCTGGCAAACGGGAACAATTTGGTCACCCTACTTCCGTGTTATTGTAAAAAATAAATCGTGTAAAGCACCTGGCTCAGAGTAGGACACCAGTAATAGCTGAAAATAATAATAATGTTAATATTGTCATTACCATTAAGGCAGGTGTTCTGGTCTGATTGGGAGAAGTTACAGGTGTTCTCTGCCACCAGGTGTGTGGGGGGAAGAGAGCTCCATGGTGGGGTCTCCTTACTCTAGAAAGGACCCAATGTCACAGTGTCCTCTTCCACCTCTCACTCAGTTACAGGCTGCCCTCTGGACCTCGACCTTTCTCTCCCAGGTGTGTGTCCTCGTGTTGAAAAGGCACCTAGTGAGCTACAGCTACACATATGGTGACTCCAGTGGGCCTCTGAGTGCCACCCGAATCTTGAGCTTCCTTTGAAGCTGTGTGTGGCTGGTTCACTGTCAAGACCACGGCTCAGAGCTGACTGAGGTCCTCGGCCTGTGTTTTGCATTTTGCCTACTTAAACCTCACACCCATCCTGCAAGGTGGCTACCTCGATCATGATCATCCCCATTTTGCAGATGAGAATACCATAGGCTCCGGGAGGGAACGTAAACGCGTCCGGCCTCGGCATGAAGCCAGCGGGGCCCAGGAAGCAAGTGCGACCCTGCAGGCCCCACGGGCACCAGCGTGAGGTCTCCCCCCACCCCTGCTCATCCGACTTCCCCTTCGCCTAGAAAACAGAAGCAAACGTGAGGGAGCCCAAGGCGAGGGGAGGAACTGAGCCTGGAAGGCTGAGCAGAGAGCTCAGGCAGCAGCGCACATGCCCCTCTTAGTGACTGCCCAGTCGACGGGACAATGGCCTATTTCCTGTGACTAAACCCATACTTCAGAGGCCACTGACTCAGATCCAGAGGCCTCTGGATTTGGCTGTCGCTGCTTTAGGGCCCAAAGGTGAGTCCTGGAGGAAAGCTTCAGGGCTGGATGCTTGGGCAGTACCCAAGAGAAGCCCCAACCGAGGAGCAAGCAACCAAGATGGACAGGGGTCGCCACAGCCAGGGGAAATGGTGGCTGGGCTTCACTCCTGCCCAAAGTCTCATAGGGATCCTGTTTCCTCATCCGTCAAATGGAGATAGTAATCTCTGCCTCTCCTATTGCCACCGGCTTCTGGGCCCCCTGCCAAGCTCTTTGGCTACATTATCACCTTTTATTCTCCCAACTACCAATTTTACAGATAAGAAAACTAAGGCATAGAGGGCAGATAATGTGACCAGGGCCACTCAGCCTGTAAGTGGCTAAACCTGAATTTTGCAGCACATCTGTTGGATTCTGGACCCTGCCTTTTGTGACTACCATGCTTTACCACCCCATGACGTCCAGCAGGTTTGAGCGCTGCATAGAACACACTTTGGCCCAGGATAAGTTACTACCCTCGGTGGCTGATCTGAGCCACAGGCCATGCAGGAAGCCTCTCCCCACCTTTGCCATGTGGTCAGCGAGGGGGCCAGCAGGCCAGGAGCAGGATGCCCTTGGCCAGGCACTGGGTGGGAGTGGAAGGATGTGGACATAGATTAGCAGAGGCCTGGGACCGTCCCCAGGGCTTGACAGGAATGCAGAAGCTGAAAGGGCAGTACCTACATGATGGCGGGTTTGCCGCAAGACGGTTGATTTCGTCGGTAGGCGAATAGACGATCCAAGGGGATCTTCGAGGTCATGTTGTTGCATGTGATGTTGCATTTCTTCACACCGTGGTGCTGTCCTGAGCCCACGGACAGTCCAGTCAGCAGGACTGTCCGTGGACATCTGGCTTCGCAGCCCCATGCCAGCTTGTCCCAGCCACACCACCCGAGCCAGACTCGAGGCCCTGCACACCCGGCCTTCAAGGCCCTTGACCTCAGCCTCCCCCTGGCCCTCCTTCCCGGCCCGGTCCCTGGCCAAACCTGTCCATGCCTCAGTTTCCCCACCTGTAAAATAGGGGCAATGATAGTATCTACCTCATAGGGCTGTTGTCAGGATTCATGAATTGTTACTTATAAAGCTCTCATTGCCTGGCACGTAGTAAGTGTCCAGTTTGAAAATTTAAGTTGCTGTAGTTGGTCCGTTGTAAATGGGGGGAGGAGTCTGAGAGTGACAGTGATCTGCCTGAGGTCACACACCCAGCAAGCGACAGAACAAGCTCCCCTCCCAAGCTTGGCTCCCGTCACGGCTCCTAGACCGGTGGTGCTGCCCATCGCCCCCTCCCCCACTGCCCTTACCCCAATAATTCACCTGCTCAATTATCACCACCCCCCTACACACACCTCACCCTTCCCTCTCAAGCTGGTCCATGCTCATAGATTGCCACAACCTCTAAGACGCACCCAAACTTCTCTCCATCCAAACCTCACGTGCCCACCTGTGACATGGACACACGCACACACACACCAGCAAACACGATGGAATATCTATATATTCCATCTGGCAGGTATATATATATGCCCCCCACACAAACACATGAAGGCACACATCCAACCAGGCACGTGTAGTAGAGCATAAGAATTTTTAAATGAACAAGTACGACCACCTTTCAAAGTGGTGGTGGAAGGTGTGCTGCATAGACCACCTTTCGTTCTGCCAGGATGAGTTTGGGGAGAAATTGCTGAGAGGAACTAACTGAATCGGCCATTTGGAATTCCCAGGGCAAGCTGGAGGGGCAGGAGTAGGGAGGAGGGATGGAGATGGGAGGTGTGCATGGGTCGGGGCGGAGTGGGTGGGCAGGGGCCTGCAGATGGCTGGCTACCACACGGAGCCAGAGGGAAACCCAGAATGACTCAACACACAGTCAACAACTCAAATATTTTCTACGAACATTTGAAGCTGTTTGTATTGCATTTCTGCCTTCCCCCTTCCCCTAAAATCTCCAGCAAAATTTACTGTGCTCAGTGTGAACTGGGAAGGGATATGTAAAAAATGAGGAAGAGTCTGAGTTTCAGTTCTAGGTCAAGGTCATATACAGCAGAAACAAGACCCCAGAGAATTTTGCAAAAATCTAGAGGCCGGGACTTCCAGCACAGTGGAGTCAAGAGAGCAAACTGATCTTGTCCAGTTCTGTGGGGCCTTGAGAGGCCCCAGTTGATCCCTAGGCTTCACCAAAACATGCATTGCTCATGCGCAAATGCTTACATGTAAGTGGACATACAAATATGAATGAGTAGCTCCCCAGAGGGGTGGGAGGTAGGGGAGGAGGCCTCCCAGCAGCTGGTCCCTGAGTCACCGACTGCCCTTCTCTTTTAGGAACTAGGATGTGAAAGTCACCCTGTACCCTCCTCCTCTCCAAGTGAGACCTCAGAATGACTCAGCTGCAGCCACCCCTGGCCCCGCTGAGGAGAGCCAGGAGGCAGGACCCTTGAACCGGTCTGGCAGGTATCTTCCTGGGGATGCTCCAGAGAAACGGAGCCCCTGGGTGACCTGGAACCAGCAGAAGTCTGCCTGGTGGGCAGGTGGGATAAGCTAGGTAAGGTCAGTTTGCTCTCTGAACCCTGCTGCCCGGGGATGGGGGAGGCTATGCCCACCTCTGGGATTTAAAGAGCCACAAAGTCAGCCTGTCTCTAAAGTCCCCACCTTCCACCAAGGTGCCTGAAGGCCCTTGGCCAGGTAGTCTCTGTTCTTGGTCCTGTCTGGGGGAGCTTGTGGAACTAACCTAAGAAAGCTTTTCTTTCCTGTAATGAGAGGTAATGCCTCCAGCCAGCCAGCCATTTATTATCTACCATATATGAGTTTCAGGAGGGCAGGGGTCACATCTGTCTTGGTGTCACAGTATTTCCCAGCATCCAGCATTAGGTGGATACTCAAAAAATATTCACTTAATGAAATAATGTCTCAATCTACTATCCCTCCACCCTCCTCCCCATCCACCCTTCCATTCATTTATCTGCCCCCTCTTATTAATCCTTCACCCATCCCCCACCCACCCACCTCTCTATCTCCCACTCATTCCTACTCACCCTCGTGCATTCATCTACCCATCCCCCACTCACCCACCCCTACCACCTGTTCATCTCCTACTCATCCTTCACCCATCCTTGACCCATCCATCCATCCATCCATCCATCCATCCATCCATCCAACTATCCATCCATCCATCCATCCATCCATCCATCCATCCATCCATCCATCCATCCATCCATCCATCCATCCATCTCTCCATCCATCCATCCATCCATCTTTGCCTCTATCTCCAGGTAATTTGAAATTGCCTAGAATATAGATGTGCTGGGAAGAACAGG